TCACTGACAGGTCTTCCCAGGAAATGGGGGTCTACATTTATGTAGGGAGATGGCATGTAACCCACTCTTACCACAGAGTGCCTTTCGTCCAGCTTCTAAATGAATTAACATCAAAGAGACACCGTTGAACATTTGCTCTGGGGAGCTCCTCATCTTTTGCTCTGGGTATTATTTAATTATCTTAGCTACATTAGGCCAGAACACGCCTGGAAGAGCTGGGCGGTGGCTGCAGAGGGCCCACTGGAGCAAAGCAGGAGAACGGCTCTGGGCTGCTTCTGCTGGAGGCTATGCGAGGTGTGAGACACAAGCATCTGAGCCCGTGTTTGCCCTTTTACCTCTTATCTTTAAGTCTGCCGGTGATGTTCAATTTTAGTTTAGTTGTGTGAATATTTTAAAGCGGGTAAAATCACAGAATTTAATTGTTGCTCGGTTTGAATAATCCCTTATACATAATTCAGCATAACATAATAGTTCTAAGGAAACATTTCCCCTGTCTCAGAGGGACCAGCCGTCACTGGGTCACTGCCAGAACTTCAGTTTACAGCCTGCTAAAGCAGACACCCGGGAAGGAGTGCCAGGACCCTCACCAACGTGCTTCACTACAGGGGTGCTGCCATCAGGAATGTATGACATTGACCGGAAAACTTTATCGTATTTCACAAGTAAGTTCTACTACCTGTATTTATGAATAAACCAAACCTGTTGCCATCAAGTCAATTATGACTCATGGCAACCCCATGTGTTTCTGAGCAGAACGGTGCTCCATAGGGTTTTCAGTGGCTGTGATCTTTTGAAAGTAGATCACCAGGCCTTTCTTTTGAGGTGCCTCTGGGTGGGTTGAAACGGCCAACCTTTTGGTTAGTAACTGACAGCTAAGCTGTCCGCTGCACCCAAGGACTCGTATTTTATAAATAGGGTAATAGTTAAGCGAAACGATTCTCAAAAATTCTTTCAAGATCCCAGGGACCACATGTTAAAAGGCAAGGGGTCAGAAATAACTTGGTGAAAATAACCACTATGGATCATTCAAACCAAGGGAATTCTGATGTTTAAGAACTGCTTTTGACTCAAATACCCAGGTTTGTTCAATCCGTGTTCCATGTCCAATCCTACATTGTGTAGGGCAAGTTTAAGGTCAGTTAAGGCTGGTGACAATAACATGATACTACATTGACTTCACCGTCTCCGGAGGCCATGGCACTTGCCACAAAGGTCCACCGGGTAATTTGTGAACTGCGGGTAAATTACCATCCTGGTATCTAGAAACAAGTGGCTCTGTCTTTCAGGCACATTATTTTTCTTTGGTGCCATAATAAACCATTTATTTTTCGTCAACGTCTTACATTTTCGGGTCAAACTTTGCAACCCTGAAAGTCAGACTAAATTGCTATGATTTCAATCCTCCTCCAATTTGTTAGGGATCAGTGAATTGTGTGGCCAGCTCAGGAACAGGATCTTTTCATGAAGCAGAAGAATAGGGCTCCTGTGTAGGCAGAGAGAGGAAGGGGAAAGAGGCTGATGCTTGATAAGTGCTCTGAAAGGAGAGAATTGTGTCCCTCTCAAGATTTATCTTTTCTTTCCATATGCTGAAACTCTTTCCATCCCTCACCCTGCCCCCAACTGCCAGCTGTGTGTCGGAGTTCAATTATTAGGCTCCCTGAGGCCAGGATACCTGCTAAAGCAGCTGTGAGTTTTCTCCCACTCACTATTCAGCATACAATACCACACTTCTGGGCTGGCCTGAGGTTTTTTAGTTGCAAATTGCTTCATGTCCATACAACTCACTGATCCCTAGCACTTTGGAGGAAGACTGAAAATCCAAGCAGTGAAATCGTTAATGAAAGTGATTAATGAAAGTTTTTTTATGTTTACCCTAAAGTTTCCCTTTGTCTGGAATGTTCTCCAACCTCTAAATTTACATGTAGTTTATATGCACACTCTGGAGGTCATTTTCAAGATTCTTCTTGATAGAATTACTAATTCTAACCGTAAATATTTGTTGAGGACCAGCATTTGTGGACTTCCATGGAGCTTATACTTACATTTGAAATATGATGCCCAGGAAAGACAGATTTAAGATCTCTTATTATTTGAAACTCTGAAATGAAAGACTTAAGAGCTCTCTTTTTTATTGTGTGAGCATATATAATGCCTTTTTAAAAAAGTAAGCTTGCATCCCCAGTCTCAGTCAGACAATTAAGTCTGGTCTTCTTACTAGAATTTCAGTACTGCGCCCCATCCTTCTGCTCCATCAGGGAATCTCTATTATGTTCCCTGTCAGGATGTTCATTGGTGGTAGCCGGGCACCATCTAGTTCTTCTGGTCTCAGGCTGATAAAGTCTCTGGTTTATGTGGCCCATTCTGTCTCTTGGGCTAATACTTTCCATGACCCCTGGACTCTCTATCATCCCAGAACTAAAACAATTTCCAAGGCCAACTCT